TCACCCTGATAAAACCCAGGGCCACTGGTGAGCACCTGTCACGCTCCCTGGCCGTGCGGATGCCACTAGCTCCCTGGGCGGGATCTGCAGGAGAGCTGCTGAGAGGGGGAAGTGCTCAGTTCTGCTCGACACCCACCATGGTGACTTTCTGGAGGGGTTAATATTGGGCAGAAAACCACTTGAGTGTGAAGGGAAGAGGCCATTCCTGATGGCTGGTTGGGCCCACATGCTCACCTTGCTCAGGTACTCCCTCATCACCTGGATGAAGTACGGCATGGCGAAGTCCATGAGGTTGTGTCTCCAGGCCAGTTCGAGCACCACGTCCGGGTGGAGCAGGTCGTAGCAGGTGAAGAGCGAGGCTGCAAAGCACTCCCACCTGCCTTCCTCCAGGAACCACTGCAGCAGCTGCTCGGCCAGCTCGGCATCCCGCGACTCTGCGGCGTGCTGCATGGCATCCTGCAGCCAAGGAAGACACACGGCTCAGCTGTCCTGCAGGCAGAGGCCTCAAGCCCACAGGTGACTGGGCTGGCAGGGCAGGGAGCAGTGCCAGGCTCTACGAAGGCCCTCCCTGCATTCCGGAGCCAGTCTGGACATGTGGCCGAGCTGGTCCCTGCACCTGGCTGCTCAGAGGTGGCCCACATGGGTGCAAGTGCCCTGGGAGACAGGGGCTCTGGCCTCAGGGCCAGTGACCATGGGCAGAGGGAGTGTGCGGCAGTCTGGGGCCAGCGCAGGGCATGGCTAGTACTTGGGAAACAGCAACTTGCTTTTCCTTCAGGTCCCTCAAAACCCTCTAACTGCCATTTTCATCCTTGCAAATTTGTTTATCTAAAACACTGTTTACAAAATGATGCTACATCCTTAGTCATTAGGAAACCAGTGCCCTCTATAGCGGTTCTCTATTCTCCAGCCACATGCTGGTGGAGCTGGTCACCTGACTCCAGCAGGGGCTCCCGTCACCCCTTTCGGAGACCGGGAGCCTGAGACGCAGAAATCAGTGCTCACAGTCGCTGCACTCTCCGGGGACAACCGTGGTGGTCCTGCTCCACGTGCCCACTGTCGCCTCTGACTTCTGCTCTGGAGACTCCTGAGGATGCTCAGTCTCCACTTCCACGTGGACCCAGCCGCTGTGAGCCAGCCCCACGCAGCCCCCTCTGGAGCTTCCCCTCAGGAAAGAGCCCCTGGCTGCCCGCTGCTCGGCTCGCTCAGTCCTGCCCCGTCTCCCTGGTTTGTCTGCAGCCTGCACCTGAACGTGGGCACCTCCTCAACCACTATCACCAGAGAGTGGATGTTTCCAGAAGCCTTGTGCTCCAGACCACAAGTTCAGCTGTGCACTAGTGGCTTCCTAGAGGACTCCCAGGTCCCAGCTGCACCTGCTCCCACAGCTGGGAGCCCACTCAAGTCTGAGCTGCTCCCTCACCCTCCCTTCTCATCACCACCCTAGCCCGTGCCACTCTCAGGCAGCTCTTTGTCCTCGTCCCTGTGTCCACCTCCCTCCTCCTGGACCCCTACCAGAGCCTGAGGTCCTGCGCTGGTCCCTCCCACATGAACCTTATCTTCTGCGGCCCGTTCTCCACCCCTGGCCTTGGAAGGTCCTGGGCTCCTCCCACGTCGGTCCATACTCAACCCCAAAGCAGCTGCCTCCCATCCTGCCCGTCCCATGTTCCTCAGCACCCGGAGCTTCCCATGCGCAGTGCATACCCCAAACCTCGCCGCTGCCACTGTCCACCGTGCTTTTATCTAAGCTCTATTTCTGTCATTTGGAAATACTTCTTCCTGTCGCTGTCTGACTGGGCATGCTGTGACCTGGCCACCCCTCCCCAGAGGCTTTGGCTGTGGCTGCAGGACTGACGCTGGGGGCCTGTGCATCGGGGCTGTGGGCACCGTCCCTGCCTCTACCTCCTACCAGTAGTGCCATACCCCCAACTGTGACAACCAAATATCCCCCAAGGGCCAAAGTCACTCTGACTGACAGCCACTATCTATCTGTGGCTTTGTCCTCTGGGCTCCCTTCTCGGCCCACGTGGCTCTGAGTGGGTGGCTGGAAAGGCCAGCAGGCCTCTGGCAGCAGTTACAACACCACTCACCCCTCACTGCCTGAGTGGCGAGAGGCTGTGCACTGAAGCCCCTGGCAGACACCGTGTGGGCAGGACACAGTGGCTGTGACACTCAGCTGAAGGCGGGGGAGGGTGTGCTTCCCTAGGTGTGTCTGAGCCTGGCTGTCACCTCCCAGTGCCAGGTCCCGAGACCTTCACATGCAGTGTCAGAGCTTTAGCAGCGTTTCCTCTCAGCATCCCGTGCAGGGCCCCATGGGCACCCTAGGAGTGACCACGAGCACTGTCACTAAGGGCTAGCAGCTGTCACAGAACAGTCCAAAACACTGGAGATGGCAACTCGGGGTGAAGCTCAATGTGACCCCGATATCAGGGGTCACAGGCCTCAATGGAGTCTAAGCCAAGAGCTGCACCCCGGTGCCATGAGAGTGAGACCTTGTGCTAGGCAACAGATGGCAGCTGTCTGTCCTGCGAAGGCAGAAATGCCCAAGGACAACTCAAGAGAAGTAACAGCCTTGGATAAAGCTCACGATCTGCTGGGGGTTTCCAGGGTCTCCTGGCCATGGAGCCCTTGGGAATCAGCTCGGCTGTGTATTATGACAAAGGCCCTCTGTATAGCTGCACTCTACTCCACTGGGGAGACGGATGGGCCAAGCAGAGGATGGCAGTGCCTTCAGGGTCTTGGTGATCTTTCCAGATGGCCCAACCTGCCGAGCAGGTGCCCGCATCTGGATCTCAGAGTGGTGCTAAGCCATCTCTCACTGGCAGAAAAACAAATGTTTTGGTTTTTTCCCTCCCAAGTGATCCTCCTGCCTCAGCCTCCCCAGTAGCTGCGACTACAGGTGTGTCACCACGCACAGCTTTAAAGCAATTTATTTTTTATTTTTTGAGACAGGGTCTCACTCTGTCACCCAGGCTGGAGTGCAGTGGCATCATCATAGCTCACTGCAACCTCAAATTCCTAGGCTCAAGGGATCCTCCTGCCTCAGCCTTCCAAGCAGCGGGGATTTATAGGCATGTGCCACCATACCCCGCTATGAAACAAATATTTTTTTTTTTTTTTGAGGCAGAGTCTCACTCTTTGGCCTGGGCTTAGAGTGAATGCCGTGGCATCAGCTTAGCTCACAGCAACCTCACACTCCTGGGCTCAAGCAATCCTTCTGCCTCAGCCTCCCGAGTAGCTGGGACTACAGGCATGCGCCACCATACTCGGCTAATTTTTTTTCTATATATTTTTAGTTGTCCGATTAATTTCTTTCTATTTTTTTAGTAGAGGCGGGGTCTCGCTCTTGCTCAGGCTGGTTTCGAACTCCTGAGCTCAAATAATCCACCCGCCTCGGCCTCCCAGAGTGCTAGGATTACAGGCGTGAGCCACTGCGCCCGGCCGAAACAAATATTTTGAATGTGATTTTAGTTTAGGTTTTTTAATTCCCCAAATCTTGACAGGAAGTAAAGTAGGTGTCAAGAAGTGACTCCTCCTCACAGAAGGCAGCTGTTGGGGAAAAAAAAAAATAATAATAGTAATAAAAAAAAGAAGTGAATCCTGCCACACTGTATGTAGGTAGAGTGAAACTCATATGCAACTGCTGGGAAAAGTATCAACTCTGTAAGATTCTGTGAGAGTCAATCCAAACAATTTTTAAGGGGCTCTAGATGGCTTGAAACACTCGCCCCACATTCTAAACATGCTCCCACTTAACGTCAGCCCCTCGCCCCCACGAGGATCTCCTGGTGAAGCTCAGAGCCAGGCCTCAGGGAGAAGAGGAAAGGTGTGGCCTCCATCCAAAAGCATCAGGGAGCACTCTGAGGGGTAGGTGGGGAGGAAGTGGGGGGCTGGGGTCCGTGACCTTGTAGAGACGATCCTTCTTGCAGAGTTCCACACTCTGGGCCCACCAGTTGCTTCACTTGTACAGATAGGCCGCGATGCGCCTGAATTCCATCAGCTGGTGCTTCTCCAGCTGCTGAGCCAGGCCGATGCTGTCGAAGTTGTCGTAGGCATCGACAGATGCCCTCAAGCCCTAGGAAGACAGCCTTTTCACGAGGGATGCGACATTATGACATGGGCTGCCTACACAATGAGCAGGCACATGGCGTTACCTGGAGGTTGCTGCCACCCTGGCCTCAGAAAGGCCCCTGCCCATGTACCCACCAGTGACCTGTGGGGCCTGCACACCCTCCTGTGCAAGGGCAGCCTGCTCTGAGAACAGACTGGCTGGTGCAGGGGGAGAGCCCAGCCTGCTCCTGGGCTGGGGACCCACTGCTTTGCCCCAGACAAGGCTACCTTCTCCACACCCACCTGATAATCCTCCTCTTCCGTCAGCAGGTGGTTCAGCGCCTCGTTCACACTCCTGTGGTTGTGGCTCTGGACTGACCGCAGGTAAGGCTTCACCAGGGGCAGCTGGCCTACCGGACAGGTTGAGGGGAACTATCAAGGCACAAGGCCAAGCTTGTCACACGCTAGGCAGGAGCGCCCCATGACACGCTGACGCTGACGCTGACGAGGGGTGCAGGTTGGTGAGTGTGTGCACACCTTCTCCAGTGGGCCAGCTCTAGGAGCCAGGGCACCTTCTGGACACCTAGAACCAACAGGCCGAAACACACTCACATGAGAGGACTGTCTGGGCCATTCAGCAGACAGCAATGTCACCTGCAGACATTTTGGCTGGAATGCAAACCTGTATGAGCACACTTCAGAGATACTGCGCTTTGGTTTCAGACCACCACAATAAAGTAAGTCACATGAATTTTTTGGTTTCCCAGGGCACATAAAAGTCATGTTTATACTATACTGTGATCCATTAAGTGTGCAATAGCATTATATCTAAAAAACAATATACGTACCTTAATTTAAAAATACTTTATTGCTAAAAATGCTAATCATCATGTGAGCCTTCAGAGAGTCCTAAGCTTTTTGCTGGCGGCGGCTCTGGCCTTGATGCTGATGGCTGCTCACTGAGCGGGTGGTGGTTGCTGAAGGA